AAAAAATTATATTAAAGAAATAAGAAAAAACAGTAAAAAAATGATATTTATATATAATTTTTTATGCAAATTATGTTTATTATTTGAAGTCAAATTAATATAAATATTTAATTTCAAAATTCTTACTTTAATAACATTTTAGTTACTTAGTAACATGGCAGTTGATTTATTTCTAAATCATATTATAATAACTGCATGTTCATTTCATTCATGTTTCACATTTTTGTAATAATTTTTTAATAAAGTGTTAAATGATCTATATTTATTTAACATTTTTTTTTTATTTAGATTCAGAACATATTAATAAAATTTGACATCTAAAAACTGAAATATTCTATAAATGCTGCTTATTGATAAAATTTCCTCTAAGTAGCAATATTAATTGGGATAGCGGAAGGGGTCTGTCTTGTAGTATATTAGTTAATATAGTTCTGGTAATTAGATGATAAAATACCCCTTACCCAGAATCCAGGAAGCACACTGCCGCAGTAGCATAATATTTATCCCTATGTTAACTATTTATTACCAATATTACAGTTACTGTTGCACAGCTACTGGAGATTAAGACGTACTCCTCGAGAATGAAGTTGTCCTACATCAATTAGTCTCCCATTATATGATTTTTATGCTACCTTATATATTTATCGAGGTAGGTATATAATAACAACAAAAAGCAACAACAACAATAATAATAATAATAACCGTAATAAGTTAATTATAATGTAAGAGACATAATATTAATAACAGTAAATTATAACTGTGTGTTTCTCTGTAATATATTGTATTTAAAAATAGATGAACTGTGTAACGTACTATAATGAACATGTTTTTATTAAAATTAATTCCATTTCTATTATTTTTTTCCTTCAACAAATCTAAATATATAAATTAATAATTATAAAAAACGGAATTAAAATATTGAAATAAAATTTATTCAATTTTATTAATAAATAATTAAGAAAAAAATTTATTAATAAATAAACACAAAATATTTATAGATTTCATAAGAAATTTAAGCGAAATTTATTATCTACACTTTATTGAAAAAATACGAAAAAATTAATTTTTTAAAAAATATATTGATTTTAAAAGTATTAATATACAAAATTTTATTTTATCAATACATTTATATCTTTACAAATGTTGTACTATTTTTTTTAAACTATTTTATTTATAGTTTGTGTGTGTGTGTGTGCGCGCGCGCGCGCGTGTGGTGTGTGTGTGTAAAATATTTGACTGTCCAATCAAAATGAAGTAAAATTATCATATATACATATATCATATACACACCATATACATAAATATAGTGTGTATAAAGAATATCTATAAATTATCACGTTGATCAGCTGAGAGAACGTTCGCAATATAGTTGTAACGAGTTATCTATTGTATATATAACATTATAAATTTATATATTATAAAAAATATATAGTATATATGTACTAAATTAAATACATGTTTTTCAGTAATTTTAAATGTATTTTGAAAGATATAATTTATTAAGCAAATTAAAATTCAGAGTCTAAAAATAACAAAATATTATGTATATTTTAATAAAGTACATATTAATTTTTTTTTATTAAGAATATCAATATTTATTTGTACGAGTGAAACATTTATAAGATGTAAATTGAATTCCGTTAAATGTTCATATAGGTTATGTGATTATGATTCTTAAAGTATATCTAAATTTCTTGTCTATAAATATTAAAAAGTGGTATGTTTGTAGCGCTTTATAAGCGCCAATATTATATAAAAAATTAAGAATGGAACGAAATGGCGCGAGAGAAATGGAAGAACGAATGTGCATAAGAGATACTGGAAAGACACTGAAAAAATATGGTAGTACAGCTAAACATGTTACAAGAAATGAAAATTTATTAAAACATACTGTATCAACAACTGATACTCTTCAAGGAATTGCTCTAAAATATGGAGTTACAGTATATATTTTATTTTTAAAATAAAATATACAAAATATATATTTCATATATCTTATTTTTTTAGACTGAACAAATAAGAAGAGTAAACAGATTATGGGCTTCTGATAGTTTATTCTTACGGGAACACTTATTTATTCCTATTAATCCAGAAAGTCCATTGTCATTAGATAATACTGAAGAAATTGAACATAATATAGTTCAAAATGTAATTTTTTTTATATAAATAATAAATTATTATTTAATATTGTATAATGTATAAAATATATTTTTAGGTTTCTAGTCCATCCTCAATAACATCATCTATAGATGATGATAGTTCAGTTAATGATTTTTTAGCTAAAATGGATTCTTCTATAGCCAATGCTAAAAAAGAAGTTAAACGTACTCAGGGGAATAGTGAGTAAGTTGTTCACTGATAATGAATATCAATCATTAATAGTTTTACATTTATACTTAAAAAAAATTTCTTATATAAATTTATTAATGAATTATATTTTAGATTTTGCACTGAAGATAATGATATCTATGTACAATCACATAGAACATCTAAATTACGTAATTCATTTCCTATAACTTCAAATACATATACAATACCATCTGCTTCTGAATCATTAAGACCATCTTCTAGTGACATGCATAACTTTCCAACTGCTGTAGTTATGACTCAGGGTAGAAAAGTAAAAACATCATTACAAAGACTTCAACAACAGCAAGATGAAATATTCCAGTTGTAGCAATCAATTTTAATGGACTGTAATATATTTAACACTGACAGTGACATTAAAAAATTTAACAAAAGATATATTGAATACTGAATAATATACTGGAAATAGTAGAAAGCTATTTCATATTTAAAATTGGTTGATCCAATATTAATGTAAGTTGTATTCATTTTTTTTTTTTCATAAATTTTTTATTATATTTTAAACACACACTACAGATATTAGAAATACTTATATAAGATAATATTTATTATTTCTATTCTTGTAGTGTGAATACTATCATCAATGGATCAACATAGCTCTCATATTGTCCAAGCATATTTTTAAAATTGTTCAAATAATATTTCTTAGTAAACCATATGTGCCTTTAATCCAAGTTGATTATGTATTTCTGTTATTTTTATAAAATATATACATATTTTATGTTATATCTAAAATATTAAGCTTTATATTTCTTTCTATAAATTAAATTTCATCAATTTTATTATGAGTAATATTTACTATTAGAATTCTTTATTCTTATTTTAATAAAATTAAAATTAGAATAAATTTATAATTCACTTATATTTCTTTTGTGGTTTCAATTATATCAGATAAGTAATTTTTATAGAAATTATTAATATAATGATTAATATTAATATAATTAAATATTATATTCTATAATACAAGCCATTTACTACCAATTTACTAAATTGTCTAAATTAGTCTTCCTTATCAAATTGTTTATATTATTTATTTATGTAATTTATTTTGTTTTTTAAAAATATTGCTAAATTAATACAAACTTAAATAAATACAGCTTGGATGATAAATTGCGCTTTTATGTAAAAAAATTATTCAATTATTTTAGTAATGCGAAATATTAAAATAATATGAATGCTCAATTTTTAGTTACAATTATATGATAAATAATATTTCGCTACCAAAAATTTTTATTATAAAATTTAATAGAATCAAGAATTCTTATTGCGTGAGAATTATATATAATGCACAAATGAATTTAATATATTAAATTCATATTGAAATATTAATAAAATTAATTTATATAAATTAAAAATATAAATTTTTGTTTAAAAATTATTATTAAAATTTATGAAATATATTATTAACAAATTATTCTATTTAAAAAGAAAAGGTAATAAATATTAAATTTATATTAATATAATTTATTTATAATTATTTTTAAAGTTATAAATTTATATAAATTTATTATTGATACAATTAATCAAGATTTTATAGAAGAAAATATAGTACCTGTTAATATTATTTATGATTAATGTTTTGCTCATTATTATGTTAATAATATTATTTGCTGATATTAAATACTATAATGCGTTTTATTGTTATTATTATATTATTCGTATTATATTACTATACATTACTATATTATATATTGTATAAGAATAACTATAAATTATATAGTTATAACAAAAGAATTAAAGTTCAAACAAAAGATAAATTTATTTTAAAGTGACATAATATACAAAAACAATAAATTTTACAATTTATATTAAATACACATATTGTATGGTCTAACTAATTTTTTCACTTTGTTATGAATACATAACAATCAATTCAAGTCATTTTTAATGCTATGCATTAGTGATTAATTTTAGATATTTTAAGTAAGATTTGTTTAATATATGTGATATAATTTATTAGTTGTAATATATAAGATAATTGTGCTATATGTAAGATGATTTATATTTAATATTCATTTTAAGTCACGTGCGTCTAGACGTACGTATGTATATGTGTATATATATTGAAAAATATTCAACTGTTACAAATATAAAATAAATATTATTTGTTAATAAAGTAATTTACAATCAAATATATAATAAAAAATATTAAAATAAATATTTTTTGTAAATGAATTAGTAATTTAACAATTAAAAAAAAATTACTTTGCATATCTATATATTTTTAAAATAAAAATTAATAATCATATTTATATTTATACATTTAATACATATTTGCCACATTCAATAATTATTTTGCAAAGTATACAAATATAAGATATCGCAGAATATATGAACAATATCTGAACAATGTTTTTGCTTAATATTATATAAATGCAATAAATATATTTATATTACTTATATATTAATATATAGTTTGAATTATCTTAAATCGTTCTTGAATATCTGTTGTTTATTTAAAATTATTTTTTATTTATTTATGAAGAATATGGAAATCAGATTCTATAATACTTTTCTATAGAACTTTTTAAAATTTGTCTTTTATGTATCATATTTAAGATCAATAAGAAGATGAATTATTTAAAATAAATTAGAATTATTTGGAAAAAAAAATATATCTACTTTGCTATTAGTTATTTTGATTGGAAATGTTATAAATTTACTACAATTACATTTTAATTCATTTATGAAATTAAATGTACCTATTCGATTATTACAATTTGGACAATGTAGTCTACCTTTTGTCCAAGATTCCTATAAAAAATGTACATCATTTTATATAGATTACAGGTAAAAGTTTTATTATAAAATTTGTATATATATTTTCATTGATGTAATTTTTATTTTTTATTACAATAATTTTTTTTTAATAATATAATTTAAAAGAAACTTTACTTGATTTATAGTATGTTCAATCCATTTAGGTAATTTTTCCATTGATATATATGAACAAGATTCAAAATTATTTATTTCACATCCAATATCAGTAAGATTTTTTTTTATTTCATTATGAGAAGTAAATAAAGAAATACATTCTTTATCAAAAAGATTTTTTCTACAATATTTGCACTTCACTTCCATCACCTATAAAAAATTATTATAAATAATATATTATATATTAAATATATTTATTCAATTTTTTCAAATTATTAATATTAATTCAAATTATTTAATGTACATACTTGATTTATTTTGATAAAAAAAAATAAAAATTAAAGTTTGGAGGTTATAAAAATACGTAAAAGAAAAATTATAATAAATTTAAAAAAAATTAAAAATTACATTAAAAGAAAATATATTAAAAAATAAATTAATATGTACTTAAAGTTAATATAAAAATAATATTTTTAAAATTATAAAATATACGAGATTTAATTCACGTTTTTTTACTTTATGTAGCTACAATTCACATTCCTTTAGTTTAACTATATATAACCATATATTTTTAAAAATAAATTATCTAATATTAATTTTTGTAAAATAAATAATATTTAATATTATTCAATAAATAATACATTACATAGTTTATAAATAAACACAGAGAAAATATGTATTTTAATATATTATTACATAAAAAATATTTTAATATTTCTACATTGATATATTTTAATCTAAATTTTTTATATTTTTGTATTGATATATTTTAAAAATATATCAGTCTATATAAAATATTTCATGTATATTTTACATTTAATATATTTTGTTTTAGATTAATTATATTAATTATAAATGAATAAATTAATGAAAAAATAAAAAAAATAATTATATATATATAAAAATATGTATATATGTACATGTACAAAAATCATAATAATTTTATACATATACCTTTAATAACACAAAATTTAATCTTCACCTGCTGGAATAGCATCTTCTAATCTTTTAATAAATTTAACACGCAATTCAGTTACATTATCATTTTTTAGTTGGTCTTGTACAAACCAACAAGCAATTTCCATTTGTACCATTTCACAAGCACCTCTTAATACTCCAATTAATACATTACAATATTTTAAGTTTAAACAATGATCTGGTAATTCAACAAATTCTGTTAATGGATTTGCTTCAAAACATAAAGAAAATTCATCACCAGCAGCACTCCAATTTGTAATTGTTGGTGTTATTCCCAAAAATATTTTGAAACCAGTTTGTATTTTCTCGGCCGTATCCCGAAAATCATAACATCGTCCAGATCCAGTTCGAGCTAAGAAATCTTCTATTAAACGAATACCCATATTATAACCCATTCTTTCTAATTGTTTATTTACGTCTTCTATATTTTCATAATCTTTTAATAATTGAGCTACTAGTGCTCCATATGTCAATGTAAATAATTCTGAATTCTGAAATATATAATTTTATATAAATTTATTTCATATTTAAAAAAAATGTTTTCTTTAGTTTGAAATTTTATATAAATATATTATCTCTAACCTCATTCTTAAAATATATAATATATAATCTCTAATATATAAACAGAATAATATTTATAAATACGAAATTTATAAAAACGAATAAAATTTAAAAATATATGATTTAAATATCTTATAAAAATTAATATAATACATAAAATACTTACAACTTTTTTCGAATCAAGTTTCGTACTTGTTCGTGACATATTCATATATACGATCGCTCAATCGGTTATGATGATAATGTCGCCATTTAATTAATTTATTATTAAATTATTTTGACTTATTTGGTTATTCATGAATAATTATAAAAATAATTTTCATATTAATTTTTTAAATATTCAAAAAAATATTAATATATAATAAAATTGTAAACGCTATTCATATTTGAACATACATATATTTTTTTGTAAGTACATCAAATAGATATAATAAATAAGAGATTAATATTAAAAATGTTTATTTATTATAAAATAAATATTATTTATTATAAAATATATAATATCTTGTTATATAATATACACAATCATAAATATTTCGTCTTATCTTAATTATTAAAGTTTAAATTTTCTTAATATTCTATTTAAAATACAGACAAAATATAAATATTATATGTTTATATGTTTTGAAACCGAAAACTTAACATAGGACGGAGTCCTTAAACTGATTTTTGGGCCATTATATAAAATATATTAATATTTAATTGATACTGTTATTTAGAAATCTCCCATGGCTGCTATAATATTATATAATGCTGTTCTTGCATCATTTTTTTCAAATACACTTAAAACTTCCATTGCTTTTTGTGAATGTCTTTTTTGTAATTGTTTTGTCAATTCAACTCCAGGACCATTCGTAACAATTTTATGAATCTACATATTATATTTTCAAAATTATTAATTCCATAATTCCATAATAAAAAAATTACTATAAATATTTATATTTAATATGCTTACCTTAGCATAATCTACATTATTTACACATTCTAAACCTTTATCAATTTCCATCAAAATTGATGGATCATGTTCAATATGAAACATAATTGGTGCAGAACACAGACTAAAAGTTATATTTTGATCTTTTGTATTAAATGGACCTAAATCTAAACAAGCTTGCCAAGCTAATGCTAAATGTTTTCCAAAATTGTAACCTTGTTCTTGTATTTCATTGCTATGTCCTGCTAATTTTAATGTACCTTTACAAGATTTTCCTAGTAAAGCACCAGCACTTAAAACATTTCTAAGAGTCCATTCTTTTACTGCATAATCTTTACGATTTTCAGATGGTATAGAAGGTAAAGGATTATTTTGGTTATCTCTGCGGCCTACAAATTCTGCCTCTGCTAAATCTCTTACAGCACTTGACATTAATTCTACAATCTAAATATAATATATATTATATATAAATTATATATAAATATAAATATAATACTAGAAAATATAAATATAAATACAATGATATATAACAAAAATAATTTATATCAAAATCAAAATATAATTAAAATTTTTATACTTACATCTTGATTGCGAAGATTTGCTAATTCAGCACAAGAGTTTGCTAATAAATAATCTCCACTTAACAATGCAATTTTATTACCAAAATTCATATCATTTAACTCAGATGTTTCTAAATAAACATCAGATCCTATATTTACTAATCCTTTATGAACAAGATGACTAGTACGTATCATTTCAGTTACTTCTGCTAAAGCTCGTTGACTAAATCATAATTTATTTAAAATTATTTTTACTTCAAATTTATAATTTGATTTTTTATAATTTTATATAATACCTATGAAGAACACCTGCTGCTTTATCTTCTTCTATATCATCTACACCTAAATGACCAGCAGCTTTTGAAATTAATAGTACAATAAGACCCCATGCTTGCATGTTATTACGTCCATTATAAATAATACTTCTATAATAAATTAAGATAAATGTTAATATATAAAAATTAATTTTATTATAAAAAATATATTTAAAAAATACTTACTTAGCTGTTTTTAATAAAGGATGATTAGATCCTACTAACTTCCTTAAATGTAAAGCTACATTTGCTATTTCATCACTTAAAAGCCATCGTAGACTTAAAAATGATGTTGGGTATCCAACAATTTTTTCTGCTTCTGAAACAGCTCTATTCCAATCTGGCTTTTGACTTCCTGTAAGTTTTGCTTCAACTTTATTTAATTTATGTAAATGGAATTTGTTTTGTACAGAAATATGCACATTTTTTTGTTTTTCACAATATACATTATGATCACTGCATAAAATTGCTCTGGTTATATTTCCATTTCTCAATAAGGTAAATACAATTTTATTCGTAAACATTTTTGTATTGCACACACCCAAAAAATTTGTTTTCTCTCAACATCAGTTTTGCATTCAACAGGTATAAAGTACATAGTTAACGTCACAAGCTTTCACTTTTGACCTTATTCTAGAAGGATATAATACATTTTCTAGTCCAAAAATATTATTCATTTTTTATTATAAAAAATCACTAAAAACAATATACTTTAATGTATTTGCTTTTATCTTCTATATACTATAATAAGTTTTACAATATTCATTAATTTAAATAATTATACATATTTTTTTATATAAATTTACTAAACTATAAAATTATAATACAATCATAATCTATATTATGCTCACTGAATCAAAGTTACTAGACATAAACGATATTATCATGTTATAAAATTTATCATGTTATTAAAATAGCAATCAACATTGTATCAAAAAACATTTCATACTTTTGATAAATGAAATAAAAAACTATTTTTTTGCATATTAGTTTATTTGAAATTATCGGTATTAATACAAATAACATATTAATGAAAATAAAAATTCATAAATATAAACTATTTTTATGAAAATAAATAATTAATATAACAAAAGTTGATGTCAACGAGTAATAATATATTTTATATAATGATTATATAATTTTGATATCAATCATTTTATGCATTCATAAAAAAACATTTATATTATATGAAATTTAAGTTTATATAAAATTATGTTTTAAAAATTTATATATCAAGTAAAAATATAATTACATACAAAATTTTATATATAATTTCATATAAATATAGTACCATATTTTTGTATAATTTTTTTTAGATAAATATTTAACATTTTTATTAAAATTGTATTTATTATTCATATAAATGTAAAATATAATATAATTTAGTGAAAAGTGAAAAAAATATTATATATATATTATTATAATTATATTATTATAAAAATACAATTTTTTTAATTAATTTTTTTTATATATGTGAGTAAATCTTAATAATATATATAAAAAAATAATCTTAATTGTCTGAATTCAATGATTATTAAAATTTAATTATTTACAGTTAAATTACATTATTTACATTTAAATTTTATATTATTTAGATTATACAATTTGCAGTTAAATAATTTCGTAATTTTTAGGGATTTTTAAAAGTTATATAACATATATCATATTCTAATTTTTTATCCGCTTGTAATATTTTGTATGCAAAGTTTTGAATTAATGATGTTTTTTTAGATTTTACATTATCTATAAAAATATATTAAAAAGTTCATAAATTTTAATATTTTAAAGTTTAACCAAGAAATAATATTTTAATTTTATTGATACCTTTCTATATATTATATATTATATGTACTTATATGTGTTGAATATATAATTGAGATGGATACATATAGATGGACATAGTATCATTACGTATTTATACTTAAGTTTAAGTATTTATATTTGATATAATAATTATATACGATTATAGTGTGGGTTATTAGATTTGTGATTTCACTATGATCTAATAACCTAATTTGTGTATTTTGTTTTTGTATTTTCATTTGTGAATAAATATTTCTAACACTATGTTAAGTATTATTCTATGTCGTCGTATGTTACGAATTGGATGTAATGAAAAGAAATATTGGACCAAATCATTTATGATGTGTTCAATTAAATCTCGAAAACAAATCATTTATTGCGAAGGAATATTTTCTCATACTTCTATACGTAATCCAATATATTCTACTTTTGGAATTAGGGTAATATAATATTTCTAATTTACATATTTTCTTTCTTTTTTCCCCTTTTTTCTTTCGCTCTCTCGCTTTCTGTGTTCCTGTTTCTCTTTCTATTCTTGTCAATTTTGTACTTAAAACATCATAAAAATTTATCAAAAATTTATAATAATGTTTGATCTTTCATTAATTCTTTTTATTTTTCTTCATTATATTAAAAAGTTATGTTGGAATTCTTAAGTTATGGAAATAAGTTATAACAAAAAATTAAATTGTAAAATTTACATGCAGTAGATAAATAATAATATATAGATAACATATAACAAGTTATATAAAAAGTAATAATTATATAGGTATTTACCTCAAAGCATTTTTTTATTGCTTCTGCAGATATAACATTTACATAATGGGTAGAACTTCAAGAAAACGTCATCAAAAGAAGAAGCTAAAAATTAAAAAAATAGCAGAAAACGAAGAAGACAGTCTGATGCATCTTAAATCTTGGTTATTAACAAATAACTGTTTATCTGTTTATAATTTAGTTCCATATAACTTTCATATTACTGGTCGAGGATTAAAAACATTAAAAGACATTAAAATTAATGATATATTAATTAAAATACCTTACGAAATTTTAATAACAACATGCACTTTGTCTCAAAGCAATGTCAATATTTTATTTTCAAAAACTGAGTATTATAGTGCTCATTGTTTATTAGCAATATTTATTGTATATGAATTACATTTAGGAAATACTTCAAAATGGTATCATTATATTAATAGTCTTCCAAAGGTTTTAACAAATCCAGATTTTTGTACACAAAAGGAGAAAAATTTATTACCATCATTTATTATAGATTATATGTATGAATTTCATAAAGTACACAATGATTTTAAATTATTAATTAGATCTATAAATAACTTGAAAATAAATAGGAAAGATCACTGTTCTCATTGTAACTTACATTTTAAAGAAATAATTACATTTGAAAAATACAAATGGGCATATTATATTGTTAATACAAGAGCTGTATATATAGATGCATTTGAGATAGAAACAAATCAAAATATTAATATAAAATATCCAAATAATTTAGCTTTAGTTCCTTTCTTAGATTTATTTAATCATGATATACATATTGCTACACATGCATCTATAATTAAAAATGAAAATAGAAATAAATTTTATCAAATTACTACATTGAATTCATTTAAGTCAGGATCACAAATTTTTATTAACTATGGTGCACATAATAGTCTTAAATTATATATTCATTATGGTTTTTTTATATCAAATAATCCATTAGATGAAATTTTTTTTTGATATTTCTGATATAAAAGTTTGTTTTAATATTCCAAAATTTAAATTAGATTTTATTGTTTCTAATAACTTACAAAAAAATATGGCATTTACAAGAAATGGTTTAAATTATAATGCAGAATCTACATTATTCATAATAAATACAAATTTATCAAAAGATTATTGGAATACAAAAATATATGGAAATTCTTTTACATCAGAAGATATAATAAATATACATAATATAGCAAAACAAATTTTAAATTTGAAAAAAAAGGAAATGTTAAATTATTTAACAAATATGAAGAATTTTAAATATTGTTACAATTGTACAAATTGTTTTTTAATTGCAATAAATCTTATAGAAGAATATATTACAATATTAAATGAATCATATAATAATTTTTGTACATTTCATTGATTAATATAAAAAGAATGTATATGGTTTATAAACAATTTATAATATACAATAATTTAATAAAAATTAAATTAAATTTAATAAAATTACTATTCACTAAACTTTATTCAATTTTCTACTTTTTGAAATATTCAAAAATATAAGTAAAATATTAATTCACAAATTATTAATTATAAGTATTATATAAAAATTAAAATCATTAAATATTATCTAAGAGAATTTTTAAAATGTTTAATAATATTTTTTACTAAGATTTTAATACAAATTATATAAATATTTATTCTATATACTATAATTTTTAATTATTTTTATAGTGTTGCAGTAGAAATGTAATTGATCATGCACAGAAAAAAAAGAATATGCTTCAATCAAAGTCAATTGTCACTTCAGTTAAAATTCCATTAATAATTTCTGGATTTACTGGAGGAAAATCAGGACAGCAAAAAAGAGATTGTTTTCATCCTGGTGTATCTAGTTTAAGTCGTGAATGTATTCATTTCCAAGAAAAAGAACCAATTAAATCTAAAAATATGATTAGAGCAATGCTTAGATATATTTGGCCAGAAGTAAATTATCTTAAATATTTATATTTTAATTTTTTAACAATTTTTTTTATTTCTTTTTATAATTATAATAAATAAATATTATAATGTTTACAAGAATTACAAAAATATTTCCTTACAGGATGATCCAGAGATCCGAAAAAGAGTTAAAATTGCTGTTGGTCTACTCATTAGTGCAAAAGCTTTAAATGTTGGAGTTCCTTTCATTTTTAAATATGCAATAGATATTCTCAATGATCAGTATATGTCAACTACTGGTACTACTATTCTAAATATGGAAACTGCACCAGAGACAGTTGCAACTGTAATAACATCATTACTTATTGGATGTACATAAGTTATATATTATTATTATGAAAAAAAATATTTTATTATGTTTTTAATTTTAATTATTTTGTACATGTATTATGTTATATATTATGTCATTATGTTATAGATGGAATAGCACGGGCTGGTGCAGCTGGATTTAGTGAATTGCGAAATGCGGTATTTGCAAAAGTTGCACAACATTCTATTCGCAAAATAGCTAAAAATGTATTTTTACATTTACATAATTTAGATATGGCTTTTCATTTAAGTAGACAAACTGGAGCATTATCTAAAGTAAGATAAATAAATCTATATATTATATTTTATATTTTTATTATTTAGATGATTTCTTCATTTTAAATTTTTTCTAGACAATAGATAGAGGAAGTCGTGGTATAAATTTTGTATTAAATGCTATGGTATTTAATATTATACCCACTGTATTTGAGTTATCATTAGTTAGTATAGTGTTATATTTAAAATGTGGAGGAGAATATGCAAGTATTGCTTTAGGTTGTGTTGGAATTTATTCTTTATTCACATTAGCAATTACTCAATGGCGAACAAAATTTAGAATCCTTATGAATCAAGCAGAAAATGAAGCAAGTAGTAAAGCTATAGATTCACTTATTAATTATGAAACTGTAAAGGTATATTTTGTAATTTATTTTATAATAATTATAATTTTATTTTGCCATTCTTATTCTATAAATAATTTATTTTTACATCTTTTATATTAGTATTTTAATAACGAAAAATTTGAAGCTGAAAGATATGATAAATCATTAAAAAAATATGAAATAGCATCACTTAAGACTAGTACTAGTTTAGCAATGTTAAATTTTGGACAAAATGCTATATTTAGTGCTGCCTTGAGTTTAATAATGGTACTAGCATCTAATAACATTATTGAAGGTAATTTTTTTAAATTTATTATATTTATATTATTATTTATGTTTAGATAATTAATATAGATAATATATATAATTTAAAAATTTATTAATATAATATGAATATAGGTACTATGACAGTAGGAGATTTAGTAATGGTCAATGGACTTTTATTTCAATTGTCAGTTCCCTTAGGATTTTTAGGTTCTGTATATCGCGAAGTTAAACAGGCTTTTATCGACATGCAAACTATGTTTACTTTGATGACAATGGATACTGCTATTAAGGTATTTATATTTAAATTTAAAAGATTAATAATTTATTAATTTATAAATGACTAATATATTTTTTTAATATAATGCCAGTCTAAAGAGAATGCAATGAAATTTAATATAAGTTCGAATAATTCGAATATTGAATTTAAAAATATTAGCTTTCAATATGTTAAAGATAAACCTATTTTTAAAGATATTAGTTTCACTATTTCAAGTGGCAAAAAGATTGCTATTGTTGGAGGATCTGGTTGTGGGTAAGTTTTGAATATATGTAATATATATATATTGAATATATATATATATATAATTTATATAAAATTAAAATATATTAGTTAATATATTTTTTAGTAAAACAACATTAGTGAGACTTTTATACCGATTTTTTGAACCACAATCTGGAGGAATTTATATAAATGGACATAATATTCAAGATATTGATTTAGATATTTTAAGAAAATCAATAGCAATTGTACCTCAGGTAATCAAATTAAAAAAATATTTAATAATATGTACAATATTAAAATAATAAATATTTTTAGGATACTGTTCTGTTCCATGAAAGTATTTTTTATAATCTTCATTATGGTAATTTATCTGTATGTAAGGAAGATGTTTTTGAAGCTGCTAAAATGGCAAATTTGCATGATTGTATTCTTAAATGGCCAAAAGGATATAACACACCTGTTGGAGAACGTGGTTTAAAATTAAGTGGTGGTGAAAAACAACGAGTAGCAATTGCTAGAGCAATTTTAAAAAATAGTCCAATTTTAATTTTTGATGAAGCTACGTCATCTTTAGATTCTATCACAGAATATGTAAGTTCATGTTATATATTAAATGCTTATATATATATGTATAAAACCATCTATCTAACCATGATATAATATTTACAGAATATTCTTGAAGCATTACGCAGAGCAACTGTTGGCCGAACTTCTATTGTTATAGCCCATCGATTATCTACTGTCATGGATTCAGACGAAATTTTAGTATTAGATAATGGTAGTTTAATTGAAAGAGGAACACATGATTGTTTATTAGCTATGCCGAATTCTTTATATAGCAAATTGTGGGAAACACAACATATAGGAATACTCAAATCTACTGAAAAAAAAGATAATAACTGTAGAACTCCAGGAGTTTGAAATTGAAATTGTATAATGCACAGGTAATAATGTATAACTTTGAATTTGAAATGATAGATTTATATTTTAAATATATTTTATATGTTTGTTATAACTTAACAAAATTATTTGAAAAATATTAAAACAAAAAAATTGATTTGATAAAATAATTTTAAATACCTATCAATTTTAATAGAGAATTAAAATCATTTAAAACTAATTATTGTTTATTGTATTATTGTATTAAAAAGATAAATAGTAACATAGTGATAATAGTAAATTAAATAAATCATAAAAGATAAATTTGTTTAAAATTTATGAAAATTTGTAATATAGGAATATATGTGCATTATATATAATAGTAAATGTTTACCAAAATATTAAATGTCTGTGATTAAATTTAAAATATAACTATGGTCAAAATTAATGTTTAAAAATAATAATCCAAAAAAACTAAAATAAAAAAAAATAAGTAAAAGTTATATTCTTTTTTATTATATACATTTATGGATTTATCACATAAGATACATATTACCTATTTATAAATAAATCAGTAGATATTCCTTCTTTTACATATGCATCCATCTTCATCTGTTATTTATAAAAATGTTTTCATTTGAACAAATTTCTTTAAATATATATAGGTAATTTCAAACATTGATTAAAGAAATGTTGTGCTATAGTTACCTTGGAAACCAATTAAAAACAACTATGGATGCTGATTAGTTTTCAATAAGTTTGGACAATGATATAATAATTTGATTTTACAAAGACTATGCATGTTGTGATGTAGAATTTGCAAATAAAAAATGCAAACTGAAGTTCCTACGTTACCTGTAGTACACTTCAATATTCATAAGAATCTCAATAGGTAATCATAGCAATATTAAACATTTTACAAATATTTTAATATTAATTATATGTTTTAAAAAACTATATATTTTTTTAAATTTTTATTTTGAATATATTATAATATTATATATACAATAAAAATTGAGAATTTGAAAAAGTTAAATTTATAAATTTTGTTTTCAAAAAATAGTTATAAATAATTAATCCATTTTATTTTTTTCATACATATTAAATTATTAAATTTATCTGTTATTTATCTTTTATTTCTGAAATGTATCTTGAAATTTTTTCAATATGAACAAAAAGTATTTATTATTATGAATTTTTTAAAAATATACATATATAATTTACAGAAAGCAAAATTCTAATTTAGGAAGATCATCAGTGGAAGCAAAAGTTAATTCACCTCTAAAAAAATAATAGTATATTTTTCATCTAAAAAAAAGAACTTACATCCTTTATTGGTTTGTATTAAACATTTAATAGCAATTAATATAATTTTTATTTTAATATTCTATTGTTAAAGTATTTATCTTTTTTTTATATTAGATATTTTAATATTTAATTTTATGTATTTTTCTCTTAATTTAACAATTATTAATTTTATTAGTAAAATTATACAATATAATATTATAAATTTAATATATATTTATATTATTATTTATTTTTAAATAAATATTAATCCTAAATATTTAGAATAATCATTAATTTTAATAATTAGTATTAATATTAATGTTTAATATATAGGACGACCATACCAAAATAATGTTCAACATTGTCCTTCTTCAGAATCAAAACTTAACAAAGATAGTATTGAACAGAGAGTTCTATCCGCAAAGATGTTACGTATTAAAGAATTGCAAAATCAGTTAGCTGATGCACACTATCGATTAAATGTAATGATTTTTAATATTTTGCTATATAAATTTATAATTCTAAAATTTATATATACATCATATATTACAGGCATACTGAATACAATTATATATTTTCACAGGAATTAGCAAATGAAAATAAATTATTAAAAGCATTACAGAAAAAACAAGATTCTGCATTGAAACGTTATGAAGGAACAAATGCTGAACTTCCGCGAATTATTAATTCACATCATGAAGAATTGAGAATACTTCAAATTAAATATAAAAAATTAAAAACTTCACAGAAGGAAACATGTGATTTATTAAAAGAAAAGGAAAATGAACTTCAGCAATTACAGGTGAATATTAATACGTACAATATTTTCAAACAAAGAATAAAAAAATCAACAGTTGCACACTATTTCTTAGTCACAAAATAAACATTTATTACAACTCAGTAAAGATCGTAATTTGGGAGAGAGAGAAAAGTTACAATTAGAAGTTTCTGATTTAAATCACAGAATACAAAAACAACAAGATACTATACAGGTAATTTAATATTTCTACATAATTTTTTATTTAATATTTATAATTTAATTATTTCATTAGACATTGCATAAAAAATTGACTCTTGAAACTAAAAGTTTAAAACAACAATTACATTTAGAAATTTCTAAACGAAAAGAAACACAAAAACATTTAGATGAAATAACAGAAAAATTAAAAACTTTAGAAAATTTACTAGATAATAAAGAACGAAGATTATATTATAATCGTCAATTATTGTTTCCTGATAAAAATCGACGTTTTGGCACGCGATCTCTTACGAATCTAAGAGACATTAGGTATGTAAAAATACAATTATAAATCAATCATTTATTTATATTTAATAATTTTTTTTTAGTTCATCAAATCCATTAAAGATATCAGAAAAAAACAAGAAATGGCAAACAGATGTTCAAAAAAACAGTTTGGTAAAGATTAATTTCATCAAATAATGTTTTAATATCTATATCTTCCAAAAATAAATTTTTCATTTAACTTATTATGATAACTTTTAGCCTATATTACATACATCTGAATCAAATGATAAAAACATCAAAACAGATGAAAGAATAAATCAAGTTTTAGATTATGTAAAATCTGAAACAATGACAAATTTAGAACAAGTACGAAGATATCGTCTTCAGAAATCTTCAGAAAAACCATGTAAAAATGTATTGAATAATTCAGAAGAAAAATCTAAAGAATTAGAATTCGTAATAAACGAGAATTCAGAAATTATAATAGATTTAGAAAATTCAGAACAATTAAAAAAACATCAAAGAAAAGCTCAAAAATATCAAATAAATACAGATAAATTAAAAGAAATTTATAATAATCGAAATTGTCAGAATTTTAATAAATCATTAGAAAAAGATCTTACTTATTCTTCTGAAGATAGCGAAAGTGAAAATGAAAATGAAAATAATAAAGATAATTATACAAATGAAACTAATAATTCTAAGCAATTGCATTCAAGGTTTGCATAAGCTTAATGTTTTTTTTTAAGTTAATTATTTAATTGTTATATATATTATATTATAAATATTATATAGTATATATTTATTATTTATTATTTATTGTAATATATCTTATATCTTATTATTTTTTAGATTGATTAACAATACAAATGATACTTCAGATTTAAAGGAATTAAAATTTTCTGATTGTAAATATAAAGATAAATTAAAAATTTTAGTAAAAGAAAGAATAAATTCTTATGAAAGTGATTCAGAAATAGAATCTGAAATAAAAAAACAATCAATTGAACATTATCTGGCAATGAATGAAAATGATACACTTAAATTAATTTCATCTATGTATAATAATGAAACTCATTGTGATTTAAATAAAGATATAGAAAAGTGTTCATCTCCAAAAAGTATTTTAAATGAATCACAAAATCTTTATCAACATTTAATTGATGAAATGCATGTACAAACTAGAATTGTAGAGGATGAAATTATTTATGCTCAATGTAATGTAAAAAATATCCAAACAGAATATAAACATTCCGAAAATTTAGAGAATTTTATGTTTGAACAAGCTGTGTCAAAAATACAAGAATATAATAATGTAAACACAACAAAAGATAATTTTGAAAATGAATCATTAACATATCCTGAAGATGAATATAATAAATTGTTCAAAACCAATAGTTTAGAATCAATAAATGATAAATCAGAAATATCGCACACAAATGAAATTATTTTTAATGATTCACAAAAAATATCTATGAAAGATACATTAAATTCTTCAAATAATTTGAACAAAGCAATAATAAATAGAATAGATCCAACAGAAATGGAAATGAAAAGCAAAAGTATATTTCTCCAAAACTATAACTTAGAAACAAAAAATAAATTAAATAAACAAGAAATGGAAAATGTTGATATAGTTTCATATAATGTAAAATCTTTTAATAATGATGCAGATCATGATATATTAACTGATGTTAGCATTAAAAATGATAATAATATTAAAACAAAAATAACTGATTACAACAAAGAGAAGTTACTAGCATCAATGAAAGCTATTGATAATAATGAAAATATTGAATTTCTAAACCAAGATTATGAAAAACATAATACAACAGCAAAGAGAAAAAAAATAACAGAAGATGTATTCCATAATTTACATGATACATCTCATATGAAGAAAAAACAAGATATTATTAAAGATATATTTGACACTGATGTAATTAAAAATGAATCAACAGATAGTTGTAATAAATTACATTAAAATGTAAATGAATAAAAAAAAATACTTAAGTATTTATAAAGTCATAGAAAAAACATAAATCATTTAAATAATCATAACATGTGCTATATTTTTTTTATAGTATAAAGATTATAATATATATGTGCATATCTCTATTTTATGAGAGATTAGAAACTTCTTATATATATACATATTTAATGTAATAAAATATTTAAGAATATACTATTAAAAGCTTTGTACATTTTTTACCTTAATTATAATCTAACTTTTAATAAATATATGTTGTACATTAGTTTTTAGTTATTCATTTTATTTTTTACATTTAACTTATATTATTATATGATAATTAATACTTAATATTATTAATTCCGTATATTTATTAATGATAAAAATTAATAAGAACAAGTTTGTTTAAGAAATTTTTATATAATTGAAATTATATTTATATCTATAAACTTGAAAAATAACCATATCAGAATACATAATTTTTTTAAATTAATTATAATCGTTATAAATTTCAAAAATCATGACAATTAAAAATTTATTATAATAATGATCATATACAGATTAAAAAATCTAAATCCGATATAATATAATTTATTAAAAAATTTGAATAGTAATTTTTTTACAGTGAAAAAATATAAAATAGTTTAATAACGTATTAAGAAATTTATAAAGTATAATTTTTAAAAGATAAAAGTTACTCAATTTATGTTAAAGTGCTTTCAAGTTACATTATACATTATATATTCAATAATATTCTATATATTCTATATGTATTTAATTATAAATAATTATAATAAAATAGAAATTTTGCATTTGTGAATTATTATTATTTATTATATACAAAATATAAAAATTAATTTAAAAAATATAATATTAAAAATTGCATATAAATAAATAAAAGATTTTATTTAAATGTACATGCAAAATCTTCGTTTTACAGATTGGCAATACTGTTCTTAAGATTGACAAGAAAGGAAGCAAACAAGGAAGCAACAAAAGGAACCTGTTGTGCACAGAAGGCAGTGGAATGAAGGTACGCCGCGAATACGAATGCCATAATGAACACCAAAACAAACTATGAATATGCTTCTAATTCATATAACGAAGGTACTTATTTATTTATTTTAAATTTAAATTCTCATTTTTTAAATATAGTAATATGAATAAAAAATATATATACTTTATTAAGAAATAGTAAAGATGAATTGAAAAACCGTCTGCTGGGCGTCCTTATGGCGTCTGCTAGAATGACGCTTGAAAAACAATTTAATTTTTATATATAAAAATAAAAATTATTTTTTTAATAATATTTAAATATTTTTCATATTAAAACTGTTCATTTTTGTTTATTATTTTTGTGAAATATTAAAATTAAATAATGTTTTTACGAAATACTGTCATATGTCATAATTTTAATAAGAATAACAACATATTTATTATTATTGAAGAAATTTTAATATTCAACATAATAAATTAAACAAAGAAATATATCAATTAAATTTAAAAAAATAAATAATTAATTAATAAAAAATTGAAAATTTATTGTGTAAGTTTTCATATTTATTTATGCTTTTAAAATTTGTAAAATTACTTATTGTTAATAAATAATCTAAATTTAATAATTTATTTATTTATCAAAATTTTTAATCTATAAACTAATTTTGTATCTATTGTTTATGTTATGTAAATTTTAATTATGAATATATAATTAATTTTTTATGAAAACACAAATATAAAAATTGAATAAAATTTTTTAAAAATATCATGTAAAATATAATTATTTTATTTTTAATAATGATACATAATAATGATCATTTTAGGTGTGGGAAATGATAGCCCAGCTGCATTATTAGATATGCTTGCAGAAGTTGCATCTCAAACATTACATTCAGAAAAAAAACGTAGTAAATCATTAGTATCATCTCAATGCAAGTCAAAATCAGATTACATAAAAAGAAAAAATCATGAATTATCTTTTAATGTGCCACAGCTTTTATCTATGCCTGCATCACAATTAGTTAAACAATTTTCTATTTTCACAAGTGATGAATTGAAAAGGCAATATTCATATACATGTGCTCTTGTCGTTGGATGTGGACAAAAATATACTAGTTTTGCAAGTGAAGGTAGAGCAAGAATGTCTATTAAAGCACATTTAGCAGAACATTTAGAATATTTAAAAACTAATAAAGAAGCTTGTAAGTTAACAATTATGATATTTATATGTTTTTATAAGCTAAAAAATATTATAAATTAATAAAAACTTAAATATATATATTTTATAGATAAAAACTTTACTGCAAGATCAGTAAGTTATAAAAATTACAAAACAAATCCCCAAAACAAGAAAAGCAGATTACAACAATCACGAAAACCACAAGAAACATTAAATAAGGAAAATAAGAATATTATTACAGAAAAATCAACTAATTATTTAAGAAATATTCTATTAAATGATTCTACTTTTAAAGAATTAGATAAAAATAAAAATGTTGAAAAAGTGGAAAATTCTAAAAGAATAAATAATTCTGAACAAAAAGATACAGAAAAAATAGATTTTAAAGTTTTTGGAGATCATAGTTATTTTGAACGTTTAAAAGATGAAATTCCTAACAAAAAAGAAACATCACCTTTTAATAATTCTCTTGAAAATACAACAGATGAAAATGTAAGTATAAATATAAAATGTATATATAAGAATATATAAAATTTATAAATTTTAATTTTTTTCTATTAGATTGTATTTATGATTGTTGGTACTGATAATGTTCATATGAAAGAATATCCATGTATTAATAAAAGATTCTCAGAAAAAATTAATCAAAAATCTGAAGCTATTTATTTACCAGGTAAGTATGTAAGATATTTTTATTTTAATTTGTTTGTGTAATTATATATATATATATTATATATTATATTAATATATATTATATATATTATATATATATATTATATAATAAATATAATTTATTTTTAGAAATATCATGGACATCTGAAAATGATAACAAAGGCACAGAAATTATAACTAGTAAACCTAAAGGAAAAGCAAAATTTATAGGTACTAGTAAAGAAGAAAGAGAAATGGCATTAGCTTTTATGGATCGTATCAAAAAAAAAGGAAATCCAACTGGAAATAATCTTGAATGTCGGATTTGTAATCCTCCTCGAAGTTTTACAGCACCTACAACTTTAGTATCTCATTATCGTAGTCATGCTGGAATAAAACCATATGAATGTCGTATCTGTAGAGCAGTTTTTACAAGAAGACATAGTTTAAAATATCACATGTTAATTCATCAAAATCAAACGCGATTTACATGCGCAGATTGTGGGAAAAAATTTAGACACCCATCACATTTTAGAGAACATCGACGTAGACATACTGGAGAAGCACCATTTGGATGTGATGATTGTGGACAACGGTGAGTTATCTAAATTTTTATTATATGTAATAATGTATTATTATATATTTTTTAAAAAATATTTTCATATTAATTAGATTTAAAACAAGAAATACTTATAAACGTCACTTGAAAACAAGGCATGGAAAAGTTTTAACAACGACTGGAGAGTTGTTATATCTTTCAGAAGAAGATTTTCAAAAAGTTCGAACTAATAGAAAAAAAAAAAATACAAATAAAGATCAAATAACAAATGAGGATATAATTGCAACAAAAATTATGCATTGTCAAAATAATAATAATCAACTGCAAAATATTGCAAATGAAAAATATAGCATAAATAATGATACTACCATTAGCAATAAGAATTGGAAATCGAGTGATTCAATACAAATTATTAAAAATTTTGAAACTTATGAGGTTTGTTCAGAACCTCATTTAAATAAGACTGAATCTATAGAGACTGAATTATCTATAAAAAATAGATTTTTTAAAGACCAAAATGGTTTACCAGATGAATATATAAATAAAGTACAAGATAAATTGTCACAAATGCAAAGTACTTCTTATATTAAATTAGAGATAATTAAAGATGGAAGCAATCAAATTATATATCATGATAACATTGAATCAGATCAACCTGAAATAATTTATCACAATATAGATGAAACACCATCATATATTAAATTAGAATATAACAATTTAGTTAATGATATACAAAATGAAAACAGTTTAGAATTTCAAAAAAAATTTAAATTTTCAGAACATCAAATTAAAAATCCCATACATATAATTAATGAAAATTATTATGATAATGAATCTAACTTTGCAAATGAACAACAAATGAAATTAATACAAGTAAATACACATATTAAAACAAAAAACAAAGATAGCAATAAACACATAGTTCTTACTCAAGAAAATATGAAATGTGAGAAAGAAAATAATGATATTATGACTCTTAATTGCAAATCTTTTCCAGAAATGGAAAACCATGAAGATATTATATCGGAAAACTTAATAAATTTAAATAATTTACAAGAAATTAATCAAGTTACTGATAATACGATATCAATAATTACAGATACTTTAATAAAACAAAATGATTGTTTATTACAAGAAAATAAAAAATTAAATAACTATCAAACAGTTATATCAAATTTAATAAAGAATCGAATGATTACATCTTCAAATTATTCTTTCGAAAAAGATAAAAAATTTTTTAATCAAGCTGAACAACATTTATATATTCATAATGAACCCTTAACTAGTATAATAGTTCAAAATAAATGCATAAATATATTTCCACAAATTCAATCAAAAATACAATTAAATAAAAGTAAAAAATTTACATTTTTAAATAAACATATGCAAGATATTAATGTAAAAGAAAATGAAAATCAAAATACAATTTTATTATTAGCTAATAATACATTACAAAACAATATTTTTAAAATTGATCAAAACAACACTGCCGATATTGAAATTAAAAAACAAATATTTGATGAAAGTAAGTAATGTTTAAATAACAAGAGTTTTCTCTAAATTAAATTAAAAATAAATAGATTTTTAACATTTTTATAGAAAAAATGATTTTATAATATACTTATAGTAATAGCATTAATAAAAATACATTTGTAGTATAAATATACTACTAAAATAATGCTTTGAGTTTTTGGTTATGTAAATATTGTTAGAAAAAAAATGTAGAATTATTAATTTTATATAATGTATATGAAAATAATAATTAGAAAAAAAATAAATTTAATAAAATATTTTTAAATATTTTGATCGTGTGAGATACACAGTATTAATATAGCTTTGATATATAATAAACTTTAGAAAGTGAATAAAAATGCATTTATTAAAAAATAAATTTATTGCATTTATAAATTTATTTTTAAAAATTGTTTAAAATATTAATATTTTCAAAAACAAATTATATTAAATCTTTATTTAGGCATTCCAGATATTATAAAAAAAAACTAATCTTTATTAAATTTATAATTTTGTATGTATATATTAACAAATTAATTATATAAAATTATTAATTATATATTTAAATATATAAATACAAAATATACATACCTAATAGCAATAATATTTTTTTCTGTGCCAAATATTGGAAAATGTAGTACAAATTCATAATTTGCTTAGAAAAAAAAAATTTTAATTTCAGTGATATAGTTATTTTCTGAATTCTTATATATTTTGTACAGTTGAGTTGCAAAAACATTTATTATATTCTATATTTATTTTATAATTTATATAGAGTGTATTATCTGTTTTTTATTTGTAATATTTTTCTTTTTTATATATACATACAGATTTTTTTGTCACAAAATTTATTGCAATTATTATAAAATAAATAAACAATTTTACTTTTTTTTTTAATGTTTTGAAATATTTTTATTTTTTAAAATATAGAAGCTCAAAAATGTCTTCCATAAAAATTTATTACATTTTTAATGGTCTCTTACAAAAATACATAAACATATAAATAATTTATAGATATTATTTTATAGAATTAATGATTCAAAAAATATATAAAATATTAAATATGCAGATTTTAGGTAATAATTTATATTATAATATTCTATTTTAAAAATATAAATTCTAAAAATATATTTATAAATTATACATGAAATACACATATTAAAAACTCAAAACATTATCTTTTGCTAAAACAATAATGGATATAAACATATATAAATTATATCAATATTAATACTTTTAAACAATAATTTCAGATTTTGTACTTCTTAAAACTTAATATTGCAAATGTAAAAAGATCTGTATAATATCTTTTTCTAATGATGAAGTACAACTAAAATTTTCTAACGAAAATATATTTTAATATATATACTTGCTATTATAAAAATATTTTCAAAAAAACATTAAAGATATAAAAGTTAAAATAAATATTTAAAAATAAAAATATAAATGTTTAAAATAGATGAACAAAATAAAAGCATTTATTGCATAGAAATATGTATCTGCATAGAAATATGTATACAAATAAATTGATTAAATATTGTATAAAATATAAAAGTGAAGAGTTAAGAAATTATTTTCACAAAAAATATATTGTGAGATATAATGTGCCTTGTATGTACTATAAAGTTAAATATTAATAGTATAAAATAAATATAAAATAATAAACATAAAATAAATACTAATTATATAAAAAAATATTCATACGTTTATACTAATTTTTTATTATCATTTGTAATAAACATTAATATGACATTAATGAAAAAAAATAATTTTAGTTATATATTGTATTTTTATATTCATTTTGTACTTAAAATAATAAAATGTTTAAAAATTATTTGATAATATAATTATGAATAATTTTTCAAAATATTTTGTATAGTGTCGAATTTCTAATGTTTTATAGTTTTGAATATTTTCGTAATTCCCAATTTTTTATATCTATAGAGACTTGACAACAGCAATAAAGAAAAAACAGTAAAATGAGTTTACTGTACCATGTATCTGTAAAGAAAAATTGTATAAAAAATTTAAAATAAACGTTTCTAAATTTCATAAAAAAATATATAATAAATTTATTTACATTTAAATAATTTTTTAAATAATTATAAAGTACAAATACCATGTAATATTCTATAGATGTAAATATTTCCAATTTCTTCTCCAACAAAAAAATAAAAATTGGATATTACTGACATGGCTAATAATGGGCTTGTTAAAATACAATTGAAACGTCTGAAATTTGTTTGTGATAGATATCTTTTTTGTACATTTGAATAATATTTGTTTTTTTCAGCTGATTTAATTAAACTTTCAATATTTAATCCTATAAAATTCAAGAATGCCCAAATAAAAATGTTTGTTTGCATTCCATGCCATATGAAAATAAATGTAAAGCATAAAAAAGAAGCAACTAATTTGCTGAAATTTAATCTTAACAGAGGTACATAAATATATCTGAAAAATATATTGTTCTTAAAATTTTTAATTAATCAAATATAATATTTACATATTTTATCATACCTTATAAGAAATTTATATAAACCTTGATCAAAATATTTCCACATATCAGAATATAAATGAATTCTTGCTACACATTTAGGTTGCGGAGGGGCTCTTACATTATCTATTGCACATAAAGTATGATTAAGTCCATATACTACAACATATTTAATTAAAAAAAATTGTCCCATGCAATATCCCAATCCATATAAAGCCCATGGATTTAAACTTTTAATAACCTAATATTAATATAAAAAAATAAATATATTTTTATTCATTTTAATAAAATTAATAATAATAATGTTACAATAATGTAACAAAAGTTTTAATATTATGTAAAAAAGAAAAATTACCTCTGGATGATATTGTATTGCATTAAAATAAAGAAAATGTAAGAAAAAGTTAGCAAAAAATATCCAGAAAATATATCTAATTAAATTAAAAATAAAATTTCCAAAATTTGCAAGTTTCAAAAATTGAGATGTTCCTATTACCTGCAAAAATATAAAAATATATTTTTTATTTGTTATTATAATAATAATTAAATATAACATAAGTTATATATTTTAAATAAAATATACATACAGAATTAATGAATTCATGATACAAAATTAATGGTCCTAAGGATAATGTAGGCAAATATAAACAATATGCTAATTTATATAGAAAATTTTGTACAAAGAAAAGCATATTGTCATAATTATTTTCTAAATGTGATTTTATATTATCTATACAATAGCTGATACTTCTTAATTGAATCCAACACATTATAAGAGTTAAAATATAATGTTCTTCATCATTAAATTTAAATATATTTTGAAAAAAACCATCCGGAATTTTTAAAAAATGTATTATAAATAAAAATAATATATTTATTATCCATATAGTATATGTATTACGTTTGTATGTTAAAATATATAATATACTTGGTTGCATTAATGCACATAGCATGCCCAATATTCCAATGTAAAAATACAAAAATAACATGGATATAAAGATGTACCAACAACACAATAGCTGAAAAAATATATAAATATATTGTTATTCATAAATTAAATAAAAAGATAAATTATAAAGTATAAAATAAGAAAGAAAGATAAAAATATCAAACCACAAAATTTGATGTAATCTTAACAATCCGACTAACAAAATGATGAAGAATAACCAAGGTATTAATTTTATTATTAATGGTATCCATATTCTCCATTCTTGATCAGAAATATCTTGTTTCCTTCCAATCCATATCCATCCTGGTGCAAAATCACCATATAAATCATCATAATTAATAAAATCTAAAAATAATATACAATTTTATAATATAAACAATTTATTATATATAAAAAATGTGTACATATGTACAAAATATATGTTTAAATTCTTACAAGTATTAATTAAAAATACATTATAAATAGAATATAATACTGCACTCGTCCACAATAAAAAATACAAGAAACTTTCGTATTTATATAATTTGATGTTATTGCCTGTTATGGATGTCATTTTCAATTAAAATTAAATTTACCGCTTTATCTTTGTTACAATTATCCTTATTTCGTAAATATATTCGAAAATAAAGAATTGAAATATATTATATTACACATTTTTTTTAAGTCTTATATTCAAATATTGTAAGTTTTATAGTTTTATATAATAAAGGTGAAATTATCAAATACTTTAAAATATATAGGTTAGAACTCTAAAAAAAATATAAATATGATAAATTTATAATAATTAATATTTTGAATTTATTCAAACATAATTTTACATTTAACATAATGTAAAAAAAAATAAATAAGATTTGTAAATATTTATTTTTAATAAATATTTATTTATCAACAAATCATCGATTTTTTTTTTTAAATTACGTTTTATTTTTAGAAGATAAAATAAATATGTTAAATACATCGAAGTCAGTAAATTATTTAAATACACAATTGCATATAATTTAATTATAAAATATTCCATTTTTCATTATATGTTGATATAAAGTACAATAGGACAATGATCACTACCATATACTTTATCTCTTATAACATTATCACAAATATTATCCTTAATTCGCTCTGATACTAAAAAATAATCCAATCTCCTGTATAAAAGAAAATTAAAAATAATAAAATAACAAATTTTTATTAACATTAAACAAATTTTTTTACCAATACTCACCATCCTATATTTTTACTACGTGCATTAGCAAAATATGACCAAAATGTGTATGCATCTGTTTTATCAGGATATAAAGCTCTAAATGTATCCACAAATCCTGTAGCTAAGAAATCTGTCATATCATCTCGTTCTTCTTTAGTAAATCCAGCATTTTTTATATTTGTTTTTGGATTTCTGAGATCTAAATAGATCAAAAAATTAATTTACATAATTTTAAATTAACTAAGTAAATTTTTACCTATTTCTTTGTGAGCAACATTCATATCGCCACAGATAATAACAGGTTTTTTCTTATCTAGATTTTTTACATATGTTTTAAAAATTCATTCCATTTTAATCTTTTTGGTAATGTTACTAATTTTTGACCAGCATTAGGAACATCTGCATAATTAAAAAATATAATATAAAACTATACATAAATTTATATTCATACAAAATATAAATAACTTACAAACATTAATTAAGTAGAAATTTAAATATTCTGCAGTGATCAATCTACCTTCATTATCAAATTCAGAATTATTTAAACCATATTTTACATCAATTGGTTTTTCTTTTGTGAATAATGCAACACCACAATATCCAGATTTTTACCTATTTTTAATAAAAATATAAATATAAAATATAATTGTAAATAAAAAATTATAATTAATTATAAATATTCATACTCTCAAGAAAATAATAATGATATCCATTTAATTTAATTTCTTCAGGTAATTTATTGGAATCGCATTTGGTCTCTTGTAATGCAACTATATCTGCATCTTCCTTTGCAATATATTTTATTCCATTTTTCTAAATGAACATATAATGTAGTAATATAGTATAAAATTTTGTTCACACAAAATACAATAATATAGATTTTTCATACTTTTATTACTGCTCTTATGCCAGAAACATTCCAACTAGATATTTTTAAGTTATATTTATTTCCTGTTGCATTTAATTTTAAACAATCGAAATTAATTTCATTCAAGTCTGTATCTGTTTTATTTATAATTGATTTTACATCTGTTTTTGCACGTTTTGCTGAAGGTTCTTCAGTATGATCTATATTCCGTTTGGATCTTTTATTTGATGTTTCTTCTGTTTTTGATATTTTATTTTTGTTCTTATTTTTAATTTCCGTAGAATCTGACTAATTGAAAATAAAAGTAAAGCATCTTTTATAAATTATCTTTAATTTGTAATAAAACGAATATATTCTATATTACTCTAACCTTTAAAATTCGGCTTCGTTTTGGCGGCATGACTGCGTTTGTATACACAAAATATTAAAAAATTATCAATATTATGATAGTAATAATAATGTAAAAATAACTTCTTTTATTTTGTTTTATTATATAATAAATTATTAATTTGTAAATATATATGAAAAATTGAAAGAAATGTTTACCGGCATGAGCTTCAAGAAATTTTGAAAACTGCGCGATATCATGAAATTTAATTCAATTGACAGTTTAATTCATGATAAACTATAAAAAAATATATAAATATATAAATATGAATATACACTACATTTAGATATTTTAATTTTAAATCATATATATTTTTATTCTTTTATTATAAATTTTATTATAAAATTAATATTATTTATATATTAAATTAAAATAAATAAATTTATTATATTAAATATCAAAATAATATCAAAATAAATTTATATTAAATTTAATTTATAAACTGCAAGAAAGAGAAGTTGCAAGACATTTATTCAAAACAAATGTATAATAAATTTAATATAAAATACTTAATAATAGTAATAATTAAATTCGCTTATAAAAACAAAAATTTTATAAAATTTTTACTAAAATTCATATCATAATTAATTTTAAATATAATATAAATTTTTATTGATATGAATGACTTCAAAAATTAACAAATTCTTAATTGAAATAATTTCCATTTTGTGATTTATACTAATGATTTATTTATATTAATATATTATTTGATTTGAAAAAAAAAATTTATTTTTAAAAAAAATCAATAAAGAATTCAAAAAATACATCATTTCTTTTATGCCAGGAACATGAACGCATTTGAATAAAGATAGAATTAACATTTTTTATACTTTTTTTATACCTAACTTCAGTTCACAATAGTACAAGTCAAATTAAATTCTAAAAAAAGTAAAGATTCAAAAATATTTATCTCGATAATTATTTTCTTATATTTTATATTTAAAGTATAAACTTCTGTAAGTTATAGAATTTTAAATTCGATAAAGAATAATTGCTAAATAAAATATTCTAATTTTAAAAATCAATAAATATGTAATTTATGTGATTTAATCTAAATTGTTTTATTAATAAATATATGACTGTTATATATATATATGTACATGTATAAAAAAAATAACCCACAAATATCTAAAATAAGAAAAATAAAACGAATATATATATTACATGAACATGTTTAGTAATAAAAAGAATAATTTACCACCGAGACCTCATATTCCAAAATCTGAACATATGTTAGAAGATCTTAATAATTCTTCTATAGATGACATAGCATTTAAAATAGTTCATAAAGGTATTATTTTTTGTCTTTATTATAAGTAATATTAAAAAAAAAAGAATAATACAATATTTTAAATCATAACCTTATTTTAAGCTTAAATCAAATTTAGCTAACTTTATTTTGTGCTCAATTTCAAATTTTATATTATAATCTATTTTACAATTTATTAATATTAATCTATATAAAAATATGAATTTTTTTCAGATGAAATTTCTGGAGAAAATTTAATGAACGCAAATACTTCTGATACATATCAGAAAGTGAAAATGTATTTACATATAAAACAACAGTTACGATATTTGGAAACTACTCTTGAAGACAAAGAACAACAACTTAAAACTGATAATGAGGAAATAAAAAGACTTGCAGATAATATTAAAAAACAAGCACAAGCTGCATTAATAACATAAGTTTTTATATTTGCAATATAAAATATCGAAATTATTTGGTTAATTTTTTTATATAAAAAATTTTAATGTAGAATTTTTCTTATTTTCATATATTAATTGATCATAAAACAATTTTACATATAATTAATATTTTATTATATGTATATAGATAATATTTTTTATACAAAATATTAATGCTAATATAATATATACAAATATAATTTAAAAACTTTACAAAAATAAATCTTATAATAATCATTCTTTTATATTATTTCTATATATATAATATATGGATTATATAAAATAATTTAATACAATTTAATATAATGCATATTATATAATATATAATGTTTATAGTTTATAATAATAATATAATTGATATTTTTTTAAATTAATCTTTTTATAATTTTCTTATAATTTTTGGAACTTTTTACAATTTTTATGTTAAATAAGATTGTTATAATGGCAGTTAGGAGGCACTGTAATTATAATAATATACATTGATAATTAAATTTCTATTTTGATTTGGAAATTTTATATTTAAAAAATTTATAAATATTTAAAAATGTTTTCAACTTTTTTTTTTAAATAATTTATTCCTTTCTTTTTATTATTTAAAAGGATAATATAGAAATATATAAATATAATAAAAATATATATGATATTTTATAAATATTTTGATTTAGAGTTTAAAGACTAATTTGATATAAATTTTTTTTAGATTGTATACTAAAAATAAGTCAAAATATAAAATATCTATTATTAAAGTTTACAACTATTTGTTTTTGTCTTAAATATTGTTGTGCATTCATTATTGATATTGTTAATTAGGAATGCCTATTGTAATATCATATTTAATTAATGGATCATTAAGATAAGCACACCATGTAAAGCCCGATGGATATCCTGAAAAAATTATGCACAAAATTTTAAATTAATTAAACAAGATATTAAGATATTATATATGGATATTAAATAATTACAAATTTATTACAAGAAAATTTTTCATTATGTTATTATTTTCTGTAATTATAGTGTAAATAATATATTATAGTATAAAAAACATATAAAGCAATTATCTACTAGTATAACATATCTATAGTTATATATATTATATAGTATCATGTATATTATGTTTGCTTTAGAATACTTGGTAAAATAAAAGTTTATAATATATATACTTACAATTATATTATATAGTAAATGATTTTCATGTATTCACAAAATGTGATTGAAATGAAATATCAAAATGTATTGCCTTTTTTCCAGCTGCATGCAAGTAATCCCTGGATTAGTCAGTGGTTAGTGACAAATACCTATGTTTTAGAAAAATATACACATAAGGTATATCAGACTAAGCAAAAGATTTCTATGAACTAGTTAATCTACATAAATGAAAAGGTTTTTTACAGAAATACAATTGTACCTCCACCAAAAAAACATATATTATGTGTTGATCTTTATTTATAACATTTGTAACAATAATATAAAAGTGCTTTACATTTGTTTTATATAAAAGTAGAATAATTCTGTTCATTTACAGATTAAGTATTTTCAAACGGAATATAAAAGTATACAATATATTAATTATATTTTTTACATAATATGTTGATATGTTCAATTAGGACGGAATTCAGATATATATTTAGATTAATTGTTGTAATAATTGTTTTTTATAACATTAATAACGATCAATTATTTGCAATTATTTCAAATTGCTTTAAACTGTTTTAATATCATTTTAACAATTAAATAAATTGTCTTACTTAAATGAATACTGGAATTATTTTTTTTAAAACCAAAAATATAAAATTTAGCTATAATATTAAAATTTTTCTTAACTATATAACATAATTTATATATACATAATTTCTCAATATTACTATTGAAAAATTATATAGTATTACGTATATAATATATATACGTATATATATCATTTTTATAAAATTCTTTGTGTAATTATTATAAAAGCATGTATTAAATGTTTTATAAATTTTGAAATAAAACTCGATTTATGGAAAATAATAATAATATAATGGAATGATTATACTTTTTTTTTTTCAAGTATTTATCTCTATTATTATTTTTTTATGTTTAAAATAATATACCACTATAAAATGGTGAATGTTATTTGTATTAATCAAAAATAAAATGGAATAAATAAAAATTACAAAAAATTTGATATTATATATAAATTTTGATGATATGTAAAATATAGATCACATTAAAGTATTATTAGTTTCAAACAATTATATAATGCAAATATTTGAATAAAATTTTTAGTAATTTTATATCGCTATAAAAAATAATATCAAATTTAAAATTTTTTTTACATATTCTTAATAATTGCTTGTAATTCAACTATTTATACTAATAATTAATATCAATTTGCTATTTTTTTACATATTCATATATGTATAACAAACATAGATTCTAGGAACATATAATTGATTGCTTTAATTATTTTGAATTATGATTATATCATAATCATCAAGTAATTAATTTTAGTTATTTACTACCAAAATTCGGCATCAAAAAAAAGGTACGAAATATTAACTTGCCTCTAGGCTTGTACTTAAGATGGTCCTCAATGAATTGACAAGGACAACGGGCGGAGACACAATGACGTGGTGGAACAGATAAACCCGCGATGTCTCTATTACGTTCCTGTGAGTCTATAACCAGATCAAGTCTGCGGCGCACAAAGTGATGTGCCCATCGAGATGCATACCTCAGCAACAGCAACTCCGCCCGTTCCTGTCAACACATACCATCATCATTCAGAAACCTAGAGCTGAAGTAGCCTAAATCTGTTTTTTATACATTAATAATAATGTATATAACTTATTTATGAATTTGAAAAATCTATGCATAAAATATATAATCAAACATAAAGACATAACAGATTACAAAAATTTTTTTTAATAGAAATTTTTATCATTTTTTGTTTAATCAAAATTTGTTATTTACCATTATTCACTATTCATGTTATTCACCATTTTACAGAAATATTTTCTATATATAAATTACATTCTTTTATATCAAATTAATTATTCTGAATTATTATATGATATCAAATATTATGTACAATTATATGCAATATTAAAAATAAAACTTGTAATACATACACATATGTGTAATTATACAAGATTTATACAAATATTAATTTGAATTCTAAATATTTAATAACAAATAATATAATAAAAAACAGTATTAATTATAGTCAAGTATAATAATCCATATCACCAAAAAATAACTCTAAAAATGTTTATATATTAATATTATATAGAAATTTAATTGCAATTATTACAAATAAAAATCTTATATAATTAAGTACATTATAAGTACTTTTCATATTTCATATAATTTAATTTTGTTTTATTAATTTTTAATAAAACAAATTTTGATTATTCATCTATTTTTAATAATATCACTCATATTATTAACAAATAATTAAATTCTTTGATTTTTAATGTATCTTTCATTTAATTTTTCATTTTAAATAAATTTTTATCGATATTAAAATAATTTGTATAAGTTTTAAAAAGTAATTTAAAAAGTTTCTTTTTAAATTTATCAATATTGCTTTAAACTGATTTTAATATTGTTATATGTTTTTGTTTGTTATATGTATATTAAACAATAGTGTTTCAAATGCCTCTATCTTTAAGAAAACTACTCCAGCTAGGACAGAAATCTCTGCCTTGAACATGAGGTTTATTACGTAACCATTCTTCTATATATTGACACGGACATAAAGCTGATGCTAAATGACGAGGTGAAGAAGGATTTCCACCTTCCTCATCTACTGTCCAATCCAATCGTCGACGTAAATAATCCTTTGCCCAACGTTGTACATAGCGGCAGAATACTTGTTCGCTTTTACCCTAATAGTTTTCAATTTATTATACAAAAAGTAAAATATTGTGAAGTTCATAAAAAAAAAAGAAAAAAAATATATATATTTTTACAATATGTATAAATAATGTTTTTATAATATATGTATATTATTAAAATTTTAATAATGTAAAAAATTCAAGATAAATTATAAATTTAATTTTTATAGAATAATTATTTGAATAAAAATTATGTACCTGTTTGCGAGAAATTCTAGTAGTTGTATTGCCTTGTATTACAATATCACTATCATCTATATCCATTCGCTGTTGTAACTCCCTTTTTCGACGCATTTCAGAATTTCCATCTTCTCCTATTATTCTTCCTTCGCGTTCTTCTCGTTCTATAACTTCTTGTAATTTTTTCTGTTATAAAATAAATTAAGTTTTAAATATATTAATTATATTCAAATATATTATATATTGATTGAATTTTGAATATATTATTAGTAAATATATAAAATAATATGTAATAAAATACAAAAATTTTCAAAGAATTTTTAATTTCAATTAAAAAAAATTTTTTTTGTACAAACTCAATTACATTAAGCTTTAATTAAATACATATTCAATGACACTTACAATGCAATCTGTAGTATCAAAGTATATGAAACAAAGATTAACTTTGTGACATGAAATCTTTCCTCTATCATCCAATCCAAGCAATATTTTATGTCGAAGTAAATGCTTGTTCACTTGCCCCATACATTTTTCAAGATTATGATTCAATTTTATCTTGATGAACATGCAAAAAAATATTGCAGCAGCATTGAGGACTAACCACATAACGCCAAGCCCAAATAAAGTAAGACCAGTAACTCCAGAAAATAATAAGCCAAGCAATACAATAAATGCAGTAAATATCCAAAGAACAAGAATCCTTTTGTAACATACATTATACATATTAAAACGTACATCATTCACAAGCAACTCCATTATATGTACGTAATCTTCTACTGTAAGCTATAAAAATATAATTTATATAGATATAAATATAAAGTTTATATGAATATAAAAAATAATTTTAAATATTATAAATATATCAAAAAAATACTTGTAAAAAAAAAATAAAGTTCAATTAGAAATGTACCGTTAAACCTTGAGCCATTAATTCTTCTGGTACTAATTCTGGACGAAATTTAGCTGGAGTAATCCATGGCCATCTAGTATTGATTGGTAAAAGAGTAACTATAGTATCTCCATTGGCAAAACCTTGTCTAATATTTCCAATAGATGTACTTATAATATTATTAGTAGCACTTCTGCCATTGGATATATCTCGGAGATCAATAGTCTTCAAAGAAGCACTTTTAGGATCAGAAACTCTTATTTCAGATGGTAAATTAAGTTCTGGACTTTCAGATGTAATAGAACGACTTAAACCTGACCTATCTAAATTAATTTGGACGGATTCAGTTGATATCACAGCACCTTTATATTCATGATTTTTTATTTGTTGATTATCTGAATTATCAACAGATTTTCCAATTTTTTCAACATTCACTGTTATTGATTCTGGTTTTATTACAGCTGGTGTATTTGTTTTAGTTTTTTCTTCTATACTATCATTATTTTTAATAGATGCTTCATCTTCAAATTGGACCCAATTTTTTGTTCTTGAAGATATATTAGATGAATTAACTACTGATATATGATCAGTTGCATCTTGTGAACTCATTTTCACTAAAGAAATAATAAAAAAAACAAATAAATGATATATATAAAGAAAATCATTTTATGTAATATATTTAAAAATATTAAATATATTCTGTTATATATATTATATCTATGATATATAATTTATGAAATGATTTTATTTAAATATTTATATTATTAAATATTTTATTTAAATTTTTTTATTTATATATTAAATTAATTACATATAGATTTATCAAATGTGATGTCAAATGTTATTAAATAGAGATTTAAAAAAATAGGGAATGTCTATGAAAATGTATTTTGTAATATAAACATGAATTAAAATATAGATATATATAAAATATAAAAATATAGTAAAAAATTAAAGCATTACATTAAATAATATTCTTAATAACATAATTATAAAATTTCAAAGTAAAAATTATAAATTTGTATAAAATGCGAAAATCATATATATATGCATGGAAACCAAAATTTGTGGAAATATTTACGTGTATACAATCCTTATTATTAATACAACGAAGATAACATTATATATTTATATTTAATATATTATACATAGAAAAATTATGTAATTAAATCTTTCTTACCTATCGTGATATGACCTATCTCATATCCGTGAGGTGAAAAGGTACGTAATACATGAAATCAAGGTGTGCAGCATTGCGATACGAAAAACAAGGGTGGGGCAAAAAATACTATAACGATATTGTATAATAATGTATATAGGATATTTGTATATACGATAATTTGCCATAAATGTGCATACATATATCATTATTTGTATATCATTCTTGAATATCTAATATATAAGTACACAATTGCGTGTATATCAATAAATATAATAATATGCATTATTTT